TTTTAATTGCTGCTGGGGAATTCGGATGCCCACTTAGTAAATTGGATCTTCGCCTCGTCGTGTTTGAATACTTGAAAAAGAATGGCCGCGAGGATGTATTTAACGGAGGACCTCCTGGAAAAGCATGGCTTGATAATTTTTTGTCAAGACATTCATTAGATTTGTCAGTTCGTAGCACGCAGAATATTAAAAAAAATAGAGCTGAGAAAGGGGTTGATGAGTTCATGGAATATTTTAGAAATTTAGAAGAGACTTTGAAAGATGTTGCTCCATCAAATATACTCAATTTTGACGAAACAAATTTAACAGATGATCCAGGATCTTCAAAATGTATATTTAGGCGAGGAGTAAAATATCCCGAGCGAGTGCTCAATTCAACTAAAGGAGCCATTTCGCTGATGTTCTCAGTTACAGCGAACGGGAGCTTGCTACCTATTTACGTTGTCTATAAGGCAGAGAATTTATATTCTGAATGGATACAGGGCGGACCGCGTGGTACTAGGTATAACTGCACAAGATCTGGGTGGTTTGATTCTTTTGTTTTTGAAGATTACTTTAACACAATTATTATGGATTGGGCAAAGTCTTTACCTAGTAAAAAAGTCGTTATATGCGATAATTTATCAAGCCACTTAAATGTGAGTGTTATCGAATTATGTGAGTGTCACAATATTCAGTTTGTTTTCATTCCATCTAGCTCGACACACATAACACAACCCCTTGACGTTGCTTTTTTTGCACCACTTAAAAAAGTGTGGCGAGCAATATTACTCAAGTACAAAATGGAAAATCCCAACCAAAATACTCTGAATAAGAATCATTTCCCAAAACTTTTACATTCTTTAGTTGATCAAGTTGAAATATATTCATCTAAAAATATCAAAAGCGGATTCAGAGCAACTGGGATCTACCCATTCAACCCAAGAGAAGTACTGAAGCGTGTACCAGAGTATCAAGAAGATGTGGCATCATATGGGATTGACAATGCATTGCTAGACTACTTAAAGCAGATCAGGCAGCCAAATCCTATGATAACAAAAAGAAACAAGAAAGTTATGACTGTACCTGGAAAATCAGTAACAGTCGATGATTTACTGCTGACTTCCCAACTCTCAAAATCGAATGTACGAGGCAAAGTCAAGTCATCCAAGAATACTACGACACTCACGAAGGTAGATACTGCTGCCTCACTCGAGAATTTTAATAAAAATTACAATTATGACATTAGTTATATTTTAAACGAAAAAACGGGTCTCATGGAAGCCACAAAAAACACTGATTTAGTATTTGAAACTGATTTACCCGTGATTTCGATAAAAGACCAAGACAAGCCCAAAAAGATAAATATTCTATCCGACATCATTTTACCAAAATATAAGACTAAGCCTATTGCAAAAACTAAAACTAAATACTTTAAAGAAATTGATACAAGCTTCAACATTTTATCACAAACTTTTCCTTCAGAACGCAATATTATCATAGAAAAACCACATACTGAAAATTCGGGTGGTAAGGTAAGAAAAATAGATAATATTGCTTTTAATATTAACGTTCATGGTGTTTTAAGTAGTGACGATAATGAGGATATTAGGGATATTGTGATTTGTTCTGCAAATAGCAGAGAGAAAACTAACAGTAAAAAAAGGAAGAAAAAACGTCGTTTGAGAAAAACCGTCAAAAAGGAAAACGTAAAACCAGTTAAGAGACCAAGAAAATCTCTAGATAGTTCTACAACTACTGAGGAAGATTGCATTAGCACCCATAGTGATTCTGACATAATTGAAGCACTTAGTGATGTTTCAAATTTTGAAATAAGTATGGAAGAGTCTACAAATATTGATGAATCTATAAATATGGATAAACAAATAATAAAAGAAGATATACATCAAATTGACAAGAATTCAAAGAAAAAAGAGTATTATGAATTAGGAGAAAAAGTGTTGGTAAGATACTATCAGTCAAATAACTGGAAGTACTATGTAGGATTAATTGAAAGTGTTAATGACAATTCCAAAACTTTTAATATATCTTATTACAAATGCATAAAAACAAAGGATTCAGATGATATTAAATTTATTAAACCTAAGCTCTTGGATCGAGATATAGCCGTACCAGAAAGTAACATTGTTAAAATTATAGAACTTTTACAATTCAATGAAAGTCCTGAAGAATATGCATTAATGTGTGGTAAGGATTCTGTGTACTTTTAAGAATTTGATATTATGTCTTGTGTTATCACAAAAAGTATATTGCTGTATTTCTTTGGTATTTACTAGAATGTGTCATTTACACGCTCATTTCCTAAAGTTCCTAAAGTATCTATGTTTTTCATTTATTATTTTTTGTTTTCAGTAGGTACGTAGGTTCTAAATAAACACTAAGCTTGGTACCTATTGTTATATATATTGTTACGCGCCACTTTTAATGTCTTGTACATGGCAACACTAGTTACACTAGCGCCCTCTAGTGTCGAGTAGCAGAACTAGGAGAGTCGAGATCCTTCCAGTAATTTCGGGACCGATATGTACTCGAACATTCTAGATGTCGCTACAGTAGAAGGTTCTGGAAACTATCTGAGGCCCTATATAAGACCGGTATAGACCACGACCGGGGCAGTATTGAATTGGCGATACAAGAGACTACTTCGAAGCGAAATAACGGCGAACTGTGTTTTATTATTAGTGTGATTTTTGATTGTAATTAGTGCTGTGTAATTAAAGTGTCAATTTTGGTAATTCAGTCGGCAGTTTTTAATTGTCTCGAACCCGAAGCTCGTAACAATTGGTGTCAGAAGTGGGATCAAATATGCCGATTTTACCTAAAGACGACACGGAGGGTATCCGTACCCGAAGTCAACGCCAACAGGAGACGGACCAGAGACGATTTGGTAATGCAACGCCGCAAACGTCGGAGCGCCAGTTGCTAACCACGGAGGCTGGCCCGTCAGCAGCTCCTGCATCTGCAGCACCTGACTTGGGTGCTCTGATGATTATGCTGCAGGATCAGGCTCGCCGACAGGAGGAACAGGCCCGCCGACAGGAGGAACAGGCCCGCCGACAGGAGGAACAGACCCGTCGGCTGGAAGAGCAGCTGCAGCGCGGTATGGAAGTACAGATGCTCCTCAGGAAGGACCTTCACGCTACCTTCGGGAAAGAGATAAAGGAGGTGAAGGATAGGGTAGCTCAACATGACAACCGCCTGTCGGAAGCTGAAACCCGAATCGACCAAGTGAACAATCGGGTTGACAACGTGATGGCTGATGTGAAGAAAACGCTGGACGACCTCAAACTTGGGGATGGAATCACAGCTCCCGTGGTAGCTACAACACCTTCGCTACGTGGATTCAAAGTGCCGCCGTTCGACGGGAGTTCTTCCTGGTCGGCCTACAAAATCCAGTTCGAGGCTGTCATGAAAGCGAACGGCTGGAATAAAAGTCAGGCCATGACTGCTCTCACCCTAGGCCTACGCGACCAGGCCTTAACTGTTTTGGAAGCGCTCGGTAAGGAAGTGACTTACGAGCAGCTCCTTGAGGCATTGGAGGCGAGATATGGCGATGCTCACCTGGAACACGTCTTTCGTGCGCAGCTCAAAGATCGCGTGCAACGCAGTAACGAAAACCTGCAGCAGTGGGCCCTTGAGGTGGAGAAGCTGGTTCGAAAAGCGTACCAGTCTGTACCTGTGCTCATTGTAGGGAACCTGGTGCAGACTTTCATCGACGGCATCCGCGACCTTGAAGTCAGAGCTGCTGTGAGGCTCGGACACCACGAGACGCTTAAGGACGCCCTGACCCATGCACTGGAGGTGGAAGCCGTGCGGCAGGATCATCGTTCCCACCGCGTCAGGGAGGTTGCAGCAGCTACAGTTCAGGACCGCAATAAGGGCTACAACCCTAGGTGCTACGGCTGTGGGGAAAGGGGCCATCTTCGATCCAGCTGCCCTAAACGAACTGTAGAAAGGGAAGGTGATCGATCTCGAGAGGGTAGTGCGGATAATAGCACCGCCCAGCAGCAGCAGGGAAACGAGTAAAAGCCAGGACTGCGGGGCGGGTGCTGGCTGATGTTAAAAGAGCCTCAAGGATTTCGATCTCACAAACCCATGATGGGAACAGCCTAATCATCAAGGGCGAAGTCAACGGAACGCCGTGTAAACTGACCATAGACACTGGAGCCTCTCGCACGGTTGTCAGTTCCCAACTTATAAGTCGGTTCCTTGGGGACTCCGCATACAACCGAGAACGCATTAATTTGGTGACAGCCACCGGTCAGCGCATACCCGTCCGTGGAGAGAAGGAGATGGAGTTGAAGCTAGGCAACATGATCTACCTGCATAATGTCATCGTGGCTGATATAATGGACGACTGCATCCTGGGCCTAGACTTTATGAGGAAGACTTGTTGTGAGATCGACGTTAAGCAAGGTGTTTTGAAATGTGGACAAGAAGAACTTTTCGTGGAAGGGGCGTTACCAGGGAATGTGTACAGCCTTAAGAAGATTGTTCTTCCGCCGAGATCGGAAACGATTGTGCCGGTTAGTCTTCCTCGGAGTCCTGGGCAAGCCCATCGTTGTGTACTCGTGGAAAGGGTAGACAATGACCTTCCATGGAAAGTGGCTCGAACCTTGGTCAGAACCACCGACATCTCAGGAGTACGTGTGTTGAACCTTTGTGATCAGGAACAGATTATAGAAAAAGGCACATTGGTTGGTACTAGTGAGGAAGTGGATTGGTTGCGTCGATGCGAATATCTATCGACCGGGACCCCCAGCAAGGATGGACAAACGATAGTGACCACACTTTTGGAAGACTGTCGCAGCGTTCTTTCCCCGAATGAAATGGTCAAGGCGAAGAAGTTGTTACTCAAGTACGCCAATGTTTTCTCGTCAAACGAAGCTGACATAGGAAAGACTGGCTTAGTTCAACACAAAATAAACACAGGACAAGAATTGCCTATTCGTCAGCGGCCAAGAAGATTGCCTGTAGCACGTGAAAAGGAAGTGGAAACCATGATTGAGGGAATGGTGAAGGATGGTGTTATTGAACCTTCATCTAGTCCATGGTGTTCACCTGTGGTGCTGGTAAAGAAGAAGGACGGCAGCATGCGGTTTTGTGTTGACTATCGCCGCCTGAACGACATTACAAAGAAGGACAGCTATCCCTTGCCAAGAATTGATGACACGCTGGATATGCTTACAGGCGTAAAGTGGTTTAGTACGCTAGATCTGAAAAGTGGCTACTGGCAGGTTGAAATTGACCCTAAGGACAAGGAGAAAACTGCATTCTCCACAGGAAAGGGTCTGTGGCAATTCAAAGTCATGCCGTTTGGATTGTGCAATGCTCCAGCAACGTTTGAAAGGTTGATGGAGCTTGTACTTACCGGGCTAATTGGAGATGCTTGTCTGGTCTATTTGGATGACATCATCATCGTAGGCCGTACGTTTGAGGAACACCTTCAAAACCTGGAACGCGTGCTCATGAAGATCCAGAGTGCCAACCTCAAGTTGAGTCCAAAGAAGTGCTCACTATTCAAACGGCAAGTTAGTTTTTTGGGGTATGTAGTGTCGGAAGAAGGTATCCGCACGGATCCAGAGAAAATTGCTGCTGTCAAGGAGTGGCCGGTCCCAAAAGACAAGACACAGGTTAGAGCATTTTTGGGTTTGTGCTCTTATTATCGGCGATTTGTGAAGAACTTTGCAGATATAGCCAAACCTCTGCACAAGCTAACCGAGGAGAAGCGACAATTCTGCTGGGATGAAAGTTGCGATATTGCATTCCAGGAGCTCAAGAACCGCCTGTGCAAAACACCTATTTTGGGGTACCCTGATGCGGGCAAGGAATTCATAGTTGACACAGACGCAAGTGATATAGGACTTGGCGGTGTGTTGTCTCAACGGAATGGTGATCAAGAGATTGTGATAGCGTACTTCAGCAAGTCGTTGTCAAAGCCGGAAAGGAACTATTGTGTCACAAGACGGGAATTGCTTGCTGTGGTAAAGTCCTTGCAGCATTTTAGCAAATATCTTCTAGGGCGGAAATTCCACTTACGAACTGACCATGCTGCACTGAAATGGCTATTGCAGTTCAAAAATCCGGAAGGACAAGTTGCGAGATGGATAGAACTACTGCAGGAATACGACTTTGTGATCGAACATCGCAGCGGGAAATCTCATGGCAATGCAGATGCATTGTCAAGAAGACCTTGCCCTGAAGATTGCAAGCATTGTACTAGGCAAGAGGGTAAGGAAGTGGTATCTGTGAGAATGCTCAGGACAGACCAGCTCAGCAATGAGTGGAAGGACAGCCTACAACATGCACAGCAGGAAGATTCGGACATTAAGCCGATTCTGGAATGGATGAAGGCCAGTGCTCCTAAGCCCAAGTGGAGCGACGTCTCAGCAATGAGTTCGACCACGAAAAGCTATTGGGCCCAATGGGACAGCTTGCTGATTCAGGATGGAGTCCTGTGCCGTAAATGGGAAAATGGTCGGGGAGACAGGTGTCATTTGCAAATGGTTGTCCCTAAGGCTAAAGTGCCGGATATTCTACAGCTGTACCATAGTGGTTGTTCAGGAGGCCACCTGGGAGTTAAACGAACTCTCCTGAAGATCCGAGAACGGTTTTACTGGGTCCACTGTCGTGACGATGTCGAGGACTGGTGCCGCAAATGTACAAGTTGTGCGGCTGTAAAGGGACCTCAAATTCGTAGTAGAGGCGCATTGAAATTGTACAATGTTGGTGCACCATGGGAGAGGATAGCCATTGACGTTGCGGGGCCGTTTCCAGAAACTGAAAGTGGTAACAAGTATTTCATGGTAGTGATGGATTACTTCACTAAGTGGCCAGAAGTCTTCGCCATTCCAAATCAAGAAGCTTCAACAGTTGCAGATAAACTAGTTCATGAAGTCTTCTGTCGTTTTGGAGTACCTTTAGAGATTCACAGCGATCAAGGAAGGAATTTTGAGTCTCAAATATTCCAGGAAACTTGCCGAGTTATGGGTACTCAGAAAACACGAACAACTTCTTACCACCCACAATCTGATGGAATGGTAGAAAGATTTAATCAGACATTGGAGAGGTACCTAGCAAAAGTTGTGGAAAAACGGCAACGAGACTGGGACAGGCACATACAACCGTTTTTGTTGTCATATCGAAGCGCTGTTCACGAAAGTACATCAGTGACACCAGCTTTCGCAAACTTTGGGAGAGAATTGCGGCTGCCTGCAGACCTGATCACCGGAATACCACCTGATGCCCCACGCAGTATAACCGATTATGCAAATGACTTGCGGAACAAAATGAATGACATTTATGAGCACGTCAGACAGACGGGCCAGCAAACGTCTGAGAAGATGAAAACACGGTATGACCGCAAAATGAACAACAAGGGCTTTGATGAAGGTTCACTAGTGTGGTTACACAATCCAGTTCGCAGCAAAGGGAAATCTCCTAAGCTTCAAGCTAAATGGGACGGACCGTACCGGATTGTGACAAGGATCAATGATGTAACCTACCGGATACAGAAAGGTGCCAGAGGTACTCCTAAGATTGTCCATGTGGATCGACTGGCGCGTTATTATGGGGCCAATAATGCTCGGGACGAGCATGTCTTAGGAGGGGGCAGTGTTACGCGCCACTATTAATGTCTTGTACATGGCAACACTAGTTACACTAGCGCCCTCTAGTGTCGAGTAGCAGAACTAGGAGAGTCGAGATCCTTCCAGAAATTTCGGGACCGATATGTACTCGAACATTCTAGATGTCGCTACAGTAGAAGGTTCTGGAAACTATCTGAGGCCCTATATAAGACCGGTATAGACCACGACCGGGGCAGTATTGAATTGGCGATACAAGAGACTACTTCGAAGCGAAATAACGGCGAACTGTGTTTTATTATTAGTGTGATTTTTGATTGTAATTAGTGCTGTGTAATTAAAGTGTCAATTTTGGGAATTCAGTCGGCAGTTTTTAATTGTCTCGAACCCGAAGCTCGTAACAATATTTTTATTTATAAATTTGAGAATTTTAAAGTTTCACCTCAACGTGATGATTAAGTAGTCTTGAGATTACTAAATTGAAAAATGAATCTTTTTTTAAGAATTTTTATCTCACAAATATGTGATAGTAATTTAAGTACTTACTCATAATCATTTAATACTTGATATAATTTGATAGTCTATGTTGTTGTCTACTTGCTTAGTAAAAGTGCCATATTTTATATGCTAATATTGTACCAAATAAATCTCATATAATAAAATGCGATTGATTAAAAACATGTTTTTTTTTGTAAAACACTCAACCAATATATATTAATTAAAAAAATTGACAACCCTGAGTCTAAAACTGTTTTGTATGGAAATTTAAAAAAAGTTTCGGGTATCTTTGGCCACCTCGCTGTAAGCCAAAATATTTAACTTTTTGTGATTATTGCCTTTTACACGTCTTCTTTTGCCAGTTTCCTGTCATAGTTCTTAAAGTAAACGGCATTGAGACTATAATTCAAGAGTTATAAGCAGTGGCTAATGTTGACAGAAAGCTGATGTAATTTTGGCCGACTAAAAAACTATATTTTTAGGTAAGAAACTGTCCTAATTTTCGCAATTTCCGTGAATTAACATCAACAGTTGAGGTTTCTGGTGTTAAACAAATATGAAAAACTAATACTTTACTAACAGTTTTTTTGATTTAAAGTTGATTAAGTGCAAAATGTGGCCAATATTGGCAGGTTTTACGGTAGGTAGTGAAAACAGTTCGTGTTGTGTTTTACGCATTTTAATAGTGATTGACAATTTACCAAGTAGTGCCTTACCATACCCTGCCCCTACATGTGTTTATATGCTGTCAGAAACGATCCAGGTTAAGGTGTAAAACATTAATATTACTTGTAATCAAAATAACTATTGACTAAATTCTAACTTACATCATTTTATGCTTTTAGTAACTCATAATTTACAATCATATTTTAATTATTTGATTTAAGCTCATTCAACTTAGTGATAACTTAATTTTTATGAAAGCTATTTAATAATAACTTGCCTTTTGTATAAAGTTCTCTCTAATACAGAACATAACTTAACTTAGACTGCATATAAATTATAACCTTTAATTAAGTTCCAACTATAAGCATTATATATGCTTGCTTTACCAACTAAACGACTTAACAAGTTTTTATTACAATTTTATTATTTACTGACAAGTCAAGTAATTAGGATACTGTTAAACTTTAATTAAAATAATATGCATATTGTGTTGTGATGTCTTAACATTATTTTGTGTATGTTTTAAAGTATATTATGTTCTGTGTATGTTTTGACTAGTGATTCAATGTAAACACATTACCCTAGAACATAGTGTATTCCATTTAATTATAAGTATTTGTACTTAAATTTAAGGAATATTTTAATAAGATATCAATATTAATATTAAGTTTGATTGTATAATAAGTATTCTGTTACCATGGAGAATACGGGGGATAATATAGATAATGTATCTACTAGCCAAGAAAATATTGTAGTAAACAGAGTAACTATTCGTGCTCCTCCTTTCTTACCTGACCGTCCCGCACTTTGGTTTGCTGGTCTCGAAGCCCAGTTCCACATAAATGGTGTTACACAAGAAACCACTGGATACTTTTATGCTATATCCCAACTAGACACCAAGGGGGCAGTAGAAGTGCAGGACATCATTACTGATCCACCAAAGACACAGCCATATTCGACGTTAAAAAATGCACTAATTACACGATTTTCAGAGTCCTATGATGAAAAGGTTAGAAGATTGTTAGAAAAAGAGGAGATAGGCGACAGGAAGCCATCGTCCTTCCTTCGACATCTTAAAACACTTGCAGGCTCATCATTTCCAGACCAACTGCTGAAATCTATATGGATGAGCAGGCTGCCTCATCAAGTGCAGGGCATTTTAGTTGCTCAAAAGCAAGCTTCTCTGGAAGATCTTGGAGATTTAGCTGATAAACTTCATGAAACTAATCCCCAATTAACATCGGCATACAAGGTCAGTGCTATCGATCAATCTCTTGGCACAGCTTTATCTGTTCCTTCGACATCTGATGAAATTAAGATGCTCCACCAGAAGGTAGACGAATTAACCCGCATCGTTGCTAGTCTCACAGTGGGTACGGGTAAAAATAAACGTTACCAGAGCCGTAGCAGAAGCCGTTCACAGTCTAGAACGAGGGACAAGCAGCTCTGTTGGTATCACAATAGATTTTCATCCAAAGCCCACAGATGCGTACAGCCATGTTCCTGGCAAGCACCAAACGGTCCAAATCAGGGAAACTCCAGCAGCAATCAGTAAATGCGGCGCGTACTGATTGCCCCGTAAAAGGTCGCCGTCTTTTCGTTAAAGACCGCTGCACCAAGCGTTGATTCCCGATTGACACAGGTTCAGACTTATGTTGCATACCTCAACAACATGTGCAAGGTCCGAAACAGCCGCAACCATATGAACTAATTGCAGCAAACGGCACCAATATAAAAACTTATGGCCTAGTACAACTAAACTTAGACTTGGTCTAAGAAGAGATTTTAAATGGAGTTTCGTTATTGCAGATGTCGCTACTGGTATCATCGGATCTGACTTTCTGGCATATTACCATTTATTACCAGACTGCTCCGAAGGTAAACTACGGGATGGGAAGACTGGACTGTCTGCTCCCGCTGTTATTTCAAGTCTTGACCAACCAAGCGTTAAAGTGGTTGCGCTTTCTGACTCGCCGCTCGCCAATGTTTTAGCAGAATTTCCTAGCATCTGTAGACCTCCAGGAGCACCTCGAAATCTGAAGTATTCTACAGTACACTATATTAATACCACTGACGGTCCTCCGGTTACTACTTGCGCACGTCGCCTGGCACCTCAAAAACTTCTTGCTGCGAAAAAAGAATTTGAGGAGATGGTTTGTGTAGGAACAGCAAGACCATCCAGCAGCTCATAGGCGTCGCCACTACACTTAGCACTGAAAAAGGATTCCACCTGGCGTCCTTGCGGAGACTACCGTGCTCTGAATGCCAGGACAATTCCAGATCGATACCCCGTTCGTCATTTAGGGGATTTTCGACAGAACTTAGCAGGATCCAGCATTTTTAGCACCATCGATCTTGTAAAGGCATATCAGCAGATACCTGTCAATACTACCGATGTGTGCAAAACCGCTATAATAACTCCCTTCAGTCTATTTGAGTTCCCTTACATGACCTTTGGACTTCGGAACGCTGGACAGACATTTCAAAGGTTTATAGACGAAGTTGTGCGTGGACTCGATTTCTGTTTTGCGTATGTTGATGATATACTCGTATACTCAAGAGACCGAGATCAACACGAGTAGCATTTAAGGGCATTGTTCCAAAGACTACACGAATACGGCGTCGTTATCAATCCAAGCAAATGCATCTTCGGTGCAGAAGAAGTAACCTTTTTAGACTATAAGATCAGCGCAACAGGTACACGATCACCCGAAGAAAGAATCCGTGCCTTAGTGGAATTCCCACCGCCTAAAACAGTACAAGGCATGCGAAGATTCTTGGGGGTGATAAATTATTACCGACGTTTTCTACCCAACGCAGCCAAACACCAAGCACCTCTTATCGACGCTGTGACCTCTACAAACAGCAAAGGTGCTAAACCATTCCCATGGACATCTAAGCTGGAGGAAAGTTTTGAAGACTGCAAAAGGAGCCTCTCCCAAGCAACTGTCATAGTATACCCGGATTGCAACGCAGAGTTAGGTCTTTTTACGGATGCCTCAAATACCCACACAGGTGCATGTCTTGAGCAGAAAAAGGAAGGAGACGATTAGCATCCTCTCGCTTATTTAAGTAAGAAATTAACTGCTAAACAGTCTGAATGGCCCGCGTATTACCGCGAACTCCTTGCTGTGTATGAGAGTGAACATTTTAGGTATATATTAGAAGTCCACATGCGACGATATATACCGACCATAAACCTTTGGTGTACGCTTTTATTCAGCGCCGAGAGAAATTACCTCCCACACAGCTAAATCAGTTGTCTTTTATAATTCAATTTTCGACTGATATCAAACACATAAAGGGAGATAACAACATCGTGGCAGACACAATGTCTCGAATCGAGTCGATATCCCTCGAAGAGGACTACATAGCATTATCAGTTTCTCAAGAAGGGGATCCAGAATTAAAGAAACATGAGAAGAATTCATCACTGAGACTAGAAAAAGTCACCATCCCTGGCACTTCGGTAACAGTCATATGCGACACCTCAACTGGCCGACCAAGACCATTTCGCACACATCCTTTTCGTCGTGCTGCTTTTAATAAATTGCACAACTTAAGTCACCCTGGCGTTCGAGCTACAGTTAAATTAGTGTCGGAGCGCTATGTTTGGCCAGATATGAAAAAGGAATGCCGTGTGTGGGCTCGCTCATGTCTAAACTGCCAGCGTAGTAAAGTGACGCGCCATATAATTTCACCCACTGGTAATTTCAACGGTCCTTCTGGAAGGTATAGGCATGTACATATTGACATCATAGGGCCGCTTGCACATTCACACGGTTACACCTATTGTCTTACTGCGATCGACAGGTTCACGCGATGGCCAGAAGCATGGCCTATAACATCAATAACTGCTGAAGAAGTTGGAGAAACTTTTGTTGCAGGCTGGATATCGCGTTTTGGAGTACCCAATATTGTGACCACTGACCAAGGAAGACAGTTCGAATCTGCATTTTTCTCGCGTCTAATAAACCTCTGCGCAACGAAACGTATTCGAACCACTGGTTACCATCCATGTGCCAATGGCATGGTCGAAAGGATGCATCGACAATTAAAGGCTGCGCTAATGTGTCACTCTAATACTTGGACGAAAGCATTACCGCTCGTCCTCCTAGGAATGAGAAGCACTCTCAAGGATGATATAAAAACCTCGGCAGCAGAACTGGTGTATGGAGAACCGCTACGTTTACCAGGTGAGCTAATCGCACCTCAAAAGTTTACAAATAATCCTGCAGACGTAATGGACTACGTAGCAGATTTAAAAAGGAAAATGGAAATATTACGTCTAATTTCTGCATCTCACCACACGCGGACGTCTACATTTATTTTCAAGGATCTCGCATCGGCTACTCACGTTTTCCTTCGTGATGATGCAGTAAGGCGCCCTCTACAACCACCGTATACGGGTCCTCACGCAGTTCTTCAGAGAAGAGACAAAACGCTGACCTTAGACGTCAATGGTAGAAAGGTCACTGTAAGCATTGATCGTGTGAAGCCGCCTTACATTGAAAATAATAAATCAGGCAAACAAACTACTACTCCTGTGACCCCAGCAACCGCTAATACTCCTCCCCCTATAGTCCAACCTACCCGTAATAACACAGTTACGCCATCCGATACTAGAGTAGTTAAAACAAGATCTGGCAGATGCGTAAGATTTAGAAATATTTTAGATATTTAGAACTTATTTTGTAATTTTTTTTTACCTTTATTTAGCCTTATTATTCTCCGTAAGGGGGTAGTGTGGCGAAACGCCAAGCCGCCAAAGCATTAAAAGAGCATATTAGCCTTTGGACATAAGGCATTATGTCTATGGCTACCCACGCTAACAACGCAGTTTTTATAAAATCTAATCCTACTTGATTTTAAGTTATTAAGTTCTGTTATTACGCACTATCTCTTATACTTGTTACTTTTTTTTCTTTTTTTTTATAGGATCGGGTGACAAACGAGCACATAATCCACCTGATAGTAAGTGGTTGCTGTGGCCCATAGACATCTACATTTATCCTCGTTTGCGAATCAAAATGCAAATGCGTTGTCACCCGTTAGGACTAAGATGAAATGCCTCTTTTCCAGTAAATAGGGTCTCCGGTTCTCTACACTCACCATACGAAACACAGCAGTGGCTGCTATTTTACGCTGGTATTCTGTGAGAGCGTGGTCCTTCCCCGGTTGAGCTGACCCATTCGTGCTGCAACTATACTACATAATATAGCTGCAGCATGGCTCTACCATGTATAAAAATAAATACTTTGGTGGCAGTATATCAATATAATGTTCATCACTAGTAATGCCGTTTTAATGTATATATATGTCCCATAAGTGTCAATCTCTATTGGAGACTCATTGATTCCCAATGTGAGCCATGTGAAATTCCTCGGTGTCATGCTAGATAGCAAATTGTCTGGAATTCCCCACATATCCTACATAGCTTCAAAATGCGAAAAAAATCTTAACGTCATTCGCGCTATATCATGAGCTTGGTGGGGCTCTCATCCTTACTCCCAAAAGCTTTTATATAATGCTTTGATTAGAAGCCATTTTGCCTATGCTTCCTTTTTGTGGGAACCATGCAATAAAAGTGCGCTTAAAACTTTGGATCAAATTCAAATAAAATGCATTATAACAGGAGGAATGAAATCTACCCCCACTAACGCTCTCCAGGTCGAGTGTGGTGAGGGTCCTCTCTTTATTCGCAGGCAGTACCTAGCAGACAAATTCTGGTTCAAAAAGTGTTTTCTTCATAATCATCCGCTGTTCCATATACTAAACTCACTTCACCAACAAATTTCAATTTCCCCATACTGGCGACATAATGATATACCATGTCTTTTAAAAAGCTATATAAAGTGTGTAAACATATAATCTCCAATCTTCCAAAATAGCAACAACTTACTCTTCTCCACTCCCTACGAAGCACTAGTTTTCAATCCAAACATCATCCTTGACTTTGGACTTGACAAGAAAACCATTGATCCTAACAGCAAATTAAAGAAAATCATCTCAGAAAATTGGCAAGACTGGATCATTATGTACACAGATGCTTCTAAAACTTCTAACAAAGATTGTGTAGGTTCTGCAGTTTGGATCCCTAAATATAGAATAATATTAAATTTTAAGTGCCCACCTGAATCATCAGTTTTCAAAGGTGAATCTATTGCCATCTTAGAGGCAATTCTATATGCCGAATCTCACAACCTGGAAAATACCTTAATTCTCTCTGACTCTCTTAGCTGTCTCCAAACCATTATCTCCAGCTCCTTCCACTCTAAATCAAATCTTTTCCCTATCCTCTTTATTAAAAAAGCATTATATAATTGTCACAAAAAGGCCTAAAAGTTGTTTTGGCTTGGATTCCAGGCCATTCTGGGATACGTGGTAATGAGTGTGCTGATTTCTTGGCTAAGAAAGCAACACGAACAGGTATCCTCTCTCAGTATCAAATTTTCCCCCATGACTTGCTTCCACTAGCAGGATCTGACTTCATGGCATCTTGGCAAGGTCTCTGGGATCAAACTAAAACATAAAATGTAAACACTACCCTCGGGTTCAAGACACAATCCCATACAAACCTTGGTTTTTCCATTATCGTGAAGCTAACAAATTTACTACATCAACCATTTGCCGTCTTCGCTTTGGTCATTCTTGCACACCGGTACACCTAGCCAAATTAAGGATAAGGGATAATTCTTTATGTGAATGTGGTCTTGATGAAGGTTCAACCGATCACATATTTTTCGAATGTCCTCGACTCAAGTTCTCCTTGTATGATATCCTTCCTCAAAACATCCCTCGTCCTACTAATGCTACCTGTCTGCTGTCTCTCGTGTTCTCCTCATTTGTTCATATTTTATGTGATTTTATTTATACTAATAGTATTAAGTTCTAACATAAAACTAATCATTGTTGGTGGTAGAATTATAAATGTTTGTGTAGTCTTTTGTTGTAGATTAGAATCCAATCACAAAAAAAAATTATAAAAAAAGATTTTATTTACCTTGTTGTCATTCCCATAACTGACTTGACATTGGCAGAATTCTTTTAAGAGAAGCCAAAAAGTAAAGAAGAAGAAGAAGAAGAACTAGTAGATTCTACCAGAATTAGACCATAGATATAGTATTAAACTCGTAGACAGAGAAATATAGATAGACAAGACCTCAGCGTATGTCAGTAAGAGATAGCGATAGTTCGCCAAAGTACATTACTACAATTACATATAATTTAAATTGACATACTTAGACTTTTACCACCATTGTGTGGGTAATCTAGTTCTTTTTATTTCGGTTGTTCTACGTCAACTACTAATTTAATTAATTTTATTTTCTATGGGGACGTATTTATGACTATTTGACTGTGCGCGAACTGAATGACTCCGGGATGAACATTAAGCGCGAAGAGAAATGAGTTGTAATGATCATTTTATTACAATTTATCTAAGATATCCTCTCAGAAGCCAATTTACATAATTTAGGACCGGGTTTAGTAAGCTCGTGGGGCTTTTGAGTGTTTATTCTGTATTTATAGCTCAACACGTAAATAGTACAATTAAATAAATCATAATCAACTCATAGCTCCGAATGCATTCAGTTCGCGCATGTCATCCCTTAGCTAACAACACCGCATAAGTCATTTTTACCAACTTTACAGGAGACGAAAAAAAACTGTCCATTTTAAAAAATCGGCGGAAATTTTACGTTGTTACTTAATAAATGCCCTAGTTAGCGGTTAAGGAATAATTATTTATAATTACTTTGACTATATACTTTATTTTAACTTTTATTTTATGACTTGAGCTGTGTTGACTGATATTTTATTAGATTTAGGTGGAGTTGTTTGCGGAAATGTTAGGGAATAAGGTATTAATAGATGATTTACAACGAAAAGTTTTTATTACGAAATATTTCAATAATAATTAACAATCGTTATAACATAGGTATCTATAACCTAAGTCTTGCGAATCACACGAACCTTTAGAGCGTATGTGCAATTTTTTATTGTTATTTTAATTGGTAAATATTTAAAATATAGTCTTTAAAAATAGTAACGAAACAAGATATAATAGTAACAAAATAATAAAAGTTAAAAGTTATACTCGAAATCTCTAGTCTAATAGTTAGTTGCAGTCTTTAGCGATTGCTGTGCGGAAGGTCATCATAAAAAGAGTGGCAACTAGTTGGTAATACACTTTTTAGATCTTGCAAATCTTCACACTTCCGCTTTGTAATTGGTATTCTAGCTGCATACAATTTCTGCAGGTGATTTATTTGTTTAATGCTGTTAATTGGCGTGGGACGATGTGGTAACGGATGAAGCTCGTCAACAAAATCAATTTTGTACCAAATTGTGCCATTTCGTATGTATTTTAGCATACGTACATCTGTGACGACTGGGTCACCTGTCTTTTAACCAGGCCGTATAGATTTATAAATTAATTCTTTCGAAAAGTCGATAAAAAGGTATAGTCCTAACAACGAGCTTCATTAGGCATAGGATCCCTCCTAGCTGTTTTAGTTATAGCCATGTGTTGTTGTGAAAGGTAAATTTCTTTACCTTTTAATTTACACTCTATTGCACTGTGTACGGAATCTAATTCTATGTGAGAATGGCCTTTTTCCAGGTACTTTTGAGTTACCACAATATTTTTTTGAAACGCTAAACGTTGCTTAAGATAAAATTGCGATTTTGAGCTCAATAGCCATCGGAGTATAAAATCACAGACAATAATTTCTGACTCAAAACCTTCTCTAGATGGTCTACTAATCATGAAGCAAAAACAGCGGCTTCAAGCGTGCTATTTGACTCATCGAACCAATAACACATTACTTTCTTAGTTGCTAAATTGTATAATGTAAAATTCTGGACGCATAATTTAGTTTTATAATAAATAGCACTGACTTGAAGATACGGGGCCAATTTTACCGATTCAACATCCTGCGTGAATACGTGACAAGCTCCGGCTGTGCAATACCTTTGTCAGTATCTTTCTCTTTCCTGGTTCGATGTTTTTTCAAAACATGTTGAGCGTATTTTTCATGTAAGATGTTATAAAAATGCTTCCAGTTTTATAACTGCAACAAACGTCACACTGATCTTTCTTCGGGTGGAATAAGCTCAGATTGAGTTACTAGTTTATAAAATGGTTTGTCTTGTATTTTAGTTTTGAGACCAAAAGGTTGTCGTTTGATTATTTATAATTATATTTTTATTTTATTTTCATTCTACTTCAATGTAAATGATACTGAACATTAATGGCAATAATTATTTATAGTTTTTTTGTTTAAAATTAAAGTTTAAAAAAAGATTTATTATAGTTTTGAGACCAAAATGTTGTCGTTTGACTATTTAAACTTATAGTTTTATTTTATTTTTATTCTAATCTAATGTAAATGGTACTGAACATTTGTGGCATAATGATATTTAGACTTTGTTTGTTCAAACTTAGTTTAAAAAAGCTATCGTTTACTAAACTTATCGTTTCTTAATGATTTCTTATATTTACGCGAAGACATTAAATGAAACAAATTTTTACGGATTTTATCGCGATTAATTTAACTTTTTAATTCCCGACGTTTTGGGTGCTTCACAGCACCCATGGTCACGGGGGGGGGGGGGGGGGCTGAGGTGTTTAACGTCCCGATGTCATAATTAGCCTAGCTACCTTCAGTTTTTGCATATTAA